CTGCCTGTGTAGCCTTAGACAAGCCCTTAACCTCTCTGAGCCTAGGACTCCCGGGGCATGAGGATCAGACAACATAATGCCCCTAAATCATTCACCTAGGGCCTGGCACAAACAACTGACCTCTCCAAACCTCGGTTTCCTGATTTCTGGAATAGGGACAGTGATGTATATCTCTTGGGGCTATTGTGTACATTGGAGTTGACCTGCACACCTCAGATAAGCTACCGCTGGAGTGGGGACAGGCAGGCAGAAGGACCAGGTCTGCCCATCCAGGGAGGATGTGGATACAGAGCACAGGTCCTATTCCTGTCCCTGGGATCCTGCAGGTGCCCCTGGCTGGCCATTGAGGCCCACTGTGATCTGGCCTCAGCTTGCCTCCTGATGGTCCCCCTTTCCCCCCACATTCCCCATCTCTGGGCTCCAGGGCACCTAGCTGCCTCCATGCTTTGCCCCTGCTGGTTCTTTGGCATTTACTGCCCTCCCTTCACCCCCCACTTCTGAGAAGCCAGAACGTATGTGTATGATGGGGGAGGCACAGTGGGCGGAGTAAGGGAAGATGTGGGGAGCAGAACTCAGTCTTGTACCAGAGCCACTGAGCGTTCCTGGGGCTCCCCTCCTGAAGACTGTCTGACCTATGCAGGGTCCTTGCCACCAGGTAACCCGCCGAGGCCGAGCCTGGAGCTGGAGGAGCCACGGCGGCCGGCCCCGGCAGAACGCAGCAGCAGCTCGGGGACACCCAAGCTGATCCAGCGTGCACTGCTGCGTGGCACTGCCCTGCTCGCCTCACTGGGCCTTGGCCGTGACCTGCAGCCGCCTGGGGGCCCTGGCCGCGAGCGTGGGGAGCCCCCGTCAACGCCCTCCACACCCCAGTCCATGCCATCTCCTGCCCAGGCCCCTTCTCAGCTTCCCTCCCGGCTCACCCGCTTTTCCCCCAAGACGCCTGAAGACTCCACCTCCCGGTTGAGCCCCAATGCCCCGGGGCCACCCACCCCCGCACCCCTGCTGCTGGAGCTGGGTGTCCCTGCCGGCCAGCCATCGGCCAAGAGCCCCCGGCGCGAGGAAGAGAGGCGCGGTGAGTGGCCTGTTGTAGGGCTCCGCGTTGGTGATGGGGAGGGAGGAAGGGCGGGTGGGGACATGCAGGGCAGCAAGGCCTGGCCCAGGCCCACTGTCTAATGCTGGACCCCACACCTGGACACTAGGCACACATGAAGGAACTGAATTCTAAGATCAGCCACCCAGTGGTCAGAGGTGGAGTTGGGGGCCCGCCAGGCTGGGTGGGAAATAACAGAAGTAATGAGCATGATGACGATGGTGATGGCAGACTCCTACTGGTTGCTCACTTGTGCCAGGTGCTGTTTCTAGTGCTTCACAGAATTGTCTCACTTAATTATCCTAAGAACCCTGAGAATTAGCTACTCTTTTTTTTCCCCCAATTTTTTTTTTCTTTATTGATGTTAAAGAGAGAGAGGAAGGGAGCCCTGGCCAGTTTGGCTCAGCGGTTAGAGTGTAGGCCTGCGGTCCAGAGAGACCCGGGTTCGGTTCCTGCTAAGGACAGGTACCTCGGTTGCAGTTTGTCCCCGGCCCTGGTTGGGTTGTACGGGTGGCGGCCACTCGATGTGTCCCTTTCACATCGATGTTTCTCTCTCTCTCTTCCTCTCTCTCCCTCCCACTCTGTCTGGACAAAAAAACGAAAAAATGTCCCCGGGTAAGAATTAAAAGAGAGAGATAGAGAGAGAGAGAGAGAGAGAGAGGAAGGAAGAGGCAGAGGTAGAAACATCGATGACTGGCATCCTCCTGCATGCCCCCCACTGGGGATCGGGCCCACAACCTGGGCAGGTGCCCTGACTGGAAATCGAACCAGCGACCTCTTGGTGCTTGGGTTGATGCTCAACCACTGAGCCACACCGGCTGGGCAGAACTAGCTACTCTTATTAGACTATTTTTAGTAACAAACTATGGAAATGATCCCTGAAACTATAGTCTTTAGACCCATTTTTTTAAAATATGTTTTTATTGATTTTTTAGAGAGAAAGGAAGGGAGAGAGATAGAAACAATTATGTGAGAGAGAAACATCCATCAGCTGCCTCCTGCACACCCCCTACTGAGGCTTGAGCTGGAAACTCAGGCATGTGCCCTGACTGGGAATCGAACCAGGACCTCTCAGTCCATGGTATAATGCTCAATCCACTGAGCCACACTGGCCAGGTCTTCAACCCATTTTTTTTTTCTTGATTTCTTTATTGATTTTAGAGAGAGAGGAAGGGAGAGGGGGAGAGAGCTAGAAATATTAATGAGAGAGAACATCGATTGGCTGCCTCCTGCATGCCCCTCACTGGGGATCAGGCCCACAACCCGGGCATTTGCCCTGACCGGGAATCGAACTGGCAACCTCTTGGTGCATGGGTCGATACTCAACCACTGAGCCACACTGGCCAGACTCAACCCATTTTTAAATGAGGAAATTTAAGGCACGGAGAGATCAAGGGATGTGCAGCTCCCACAAGTAAGTGGCAGAGCTGGGATCCAAGCCCAGGCCTGTCTGCTCCAGAGGACTGGCTCTTCACCACTACATTATAAACAGATGCACCATGGAGCGTAGGGGCCATGGGAGTGAGGAGTCAAGTAGCTCATCAGATAGGGAAACTGAGACCCAGAGCAGTCTTGGGGAAACCCAGGAGTAGGTGACTGCCTGACCCTGTGCCCTTCTCCCACTCTTCAAAGGAAGCACTGTCTCACCTCCACCAGGGATATCCCGCTCTGCTCCTGGCACCCCAGGCACCCCACGCTCACCACCCCTGGGCCTCATCAGCCGACCTCGGCCCTCACCGCTCCGCAGCCGCATTGACCCGTGGAGCTTCGTGTCAGCTGGGCCACGGCCTTCGCCCCTGCCCTCGCCACAGCCTGCGCCCCGCCGGGCACCCTGGACCTTGTTCCCAGACTCAGATCCCTTCTGGGACTCTCCACCAGCCAACCCCTTCCGGGGGGGGCCTCAAGACTGCAGGGCGCAGACCAAAGACATGGGTGCCCAGGCTCCATGGATGCCAGAGGCAGGGCCATGAGTGAACCGGGCTGCTCCCCCACGCTCCGGCTGCCCAGAGGAGCCACAGCATACACTGGAACGGGAGCCGGGCCAGCCTCTGTAGCTGCCTTGGTTTCCCCCAGGGATCCCACCCCCTTTGGGTGTCAGGAACACTACACTGCACAGGAAGCCTTCACACTGGATGGGGGGTCTGCAGCCCCCACACACCTGCAAACTGTGGGTCCCCCGACTTACCTGCCCCACTGGGGCCTGACACTGTACCCAGCTGGTTGGGAGGACCATATCCTGTCTCAGGGAATTGCCCCCAGGGGTAGTGCAGGGAGGGGGAGGTGCAAGGGAGAGGGGCCGGCCTTGGCTGTCACCAGCACTTTTGACCAAGTCCTGCTACTGTGTCCCCTACCCCAGGGTTTAGTGCCTGGACCCCCCTGCCCTGGGGTTCATCTGGGGTCGGGGTTCTCTGGGTGCCTTCCTGCTGCCCCGGCCAGGGTTGGGGCCTCAGCCTCGGGATCCAATGAAGCCAAATAAACTCCCCAAGCTGTCTCCCCAAGCACAGCCTATCACCTTCCTTGGAAATAACCAGGGATCCAACCCATCACTCAAACCTGGTGACTTCACGTGCCCAGCACAATGGGCAGTCAGTCTGGGCCTAGGCTGGTACCTTGCACTGCACCCCTCTCCCAGGATCAAGTCTACCAGTTTCAGTCAGGCATTCAAGGCCCTTGTCAGCCTCCCTGGCACCCACAGAAACTGGCCTCACCCACCTCCGCACCCTTGCCAGGCCTTTGCCACCATTGCAAGTAACTGCACCCTGATTAGTTCTGCTGCTGGAAGGTCCCTGCTTATCCTCTGGGGCCAGTTCCATGTTACCTCCCCTGGGACTCCTTCCCTGGCCGTGCTGTTCCCAACCTGGGCAGCTCACTGAATTCAGGAACCCATAGCCCTTTGGGAAGCCTTTTGGGGGTTTGTCCTGGCTGTATCTATCCCAGGTCTGGACAAAGGAGGAGTGACCCACCCTGGCACCTGGCTCCACTCACATTTTCCTTACTACCATGGGGTTCTGCTGTTTATGAGAGTTGCAGCCTGGGCTCCCCTCCCTGTCCGCCCCCCTTCAAGCTCCATGGCAGTCAGAGTCACTGTGTCTCCAGTGTTCAGGAGGGTGGGGCACAAAAGGTTACCAGGAAGAACTTGGAATGGAGACCTGACAGCATCATCTGTCCAGGGTGCTCTGCCTGCCCTCAGCTCCTTACCTTGCTACCCCTGTCCCCACCAGACCCATCCCAAATCCAATATTCCTCTCCCACTGAGCTGCCCAGGCCGCCACTTCCATCCTAGGTGCCTGCGATAGCAAACCCCCATAGATCGCCTGGGCCACATTTGTCCTCAAGGCCCTGTGTCGTTACCCCCACAGCCAGTCCCGTTCCTCTCACACCCCAGCTCTTTCTTGACTAGCTGCCTCTATCCCCCAGCTGAAATGTCCTACAGGAGCCCTCCCAGAGAGATTCAGCTCCCCCAGAACTCGCCCCCATTACCCCAGCGTTTCCTTCAGGGAGTGTATGATGTGAATATGTAATGTTTCCTTGCCAACAGGTTGTGTGAACACCAAGAAGGAAGGGACCTGTGTCCATCCTATTCCTCTGTGTCCTCAGGATCTAAGCCACTGCTAAGTGGATGAATGCAGAATGTGAATGAGTGTGTCCCTGAGTAAAGCACCGTAGTGTGATTTTGAGCCAGTCATTTACCTCTCTGGGCCTCCCTTTCCTTCACCTCATCCTCACCACCCCAGCTTCAGGGAATGGGGCAAATAATGGCCCCAGAAACTGGAGGAGTGATCACCTCCAAACCTGAGCTGCCTCCTTTCCCTCTCACTCTCAGCCACCCACACAGCACCTCCTCCCAGCCCCACCCGCCAACCCTCCCAGTTGCCTGAGGTGGAGCAGCCAGCTCCCAGGACACCTCAGACTCCCAGACAGCACACCATGGGGGGTCTGAGGCCCTGGGCCCGATATGGGCTGCTGATTGTGGCCCACCTGCTGGCTCTGGGGCTTGGGGCTGTGGTGCTCCAGGCCCTGGAGGGACCTCCAGCACTCCAGCTTCAGGCCAAGCTCAGGGCTGAGCTGGCCACTTTCCAGGCGGAGTATGGGGCATGCCTGCCAACCGGGGCACTGGAGGAGCTGCTGGGCACCGCCCTGGCAGCCCAGGCCCATGGGGTCTCCAGCCTGCGCAATGGCTCAGAGACTGGGAACTGGGATCTGCCCTCAGCCCTGCTCTTCACTGCCAGCCTCCTCACCACCACGGGTAAGGCTGCCAGGTGGCTGGGCAGAAGCGGGCTCCTAATTCTAGTGCTCCCTGAGGTTCCTGGGGGTACAGCCCTTTCCCCAGCTCCGAAGTGCCAGACAGAGCCCAGGCCCTATTAGGCCTGACCTCACAGCTGAGGCTCTCCACACCTACACACCTCAACTGGTGCCTCAACTTCAGCTGCCAGGAGGGGCGTGGCCTCTCCAGCCCCACCCCAAGGCACCCTTTGAGACCCAGGAGAGGTGGCCAGACCCCATGGGCCTGAAGCAAGGCAGGGGATACATTATGGGGTGGATTGTTGGATGGAGGGAAATGGGGTGAGCCTGGGGAGTACAGATTAGGAGCACTGACTGAGGAGGAAATGTGAAGGGCAGCTCCTGGGTGGGGAAGTCTTGATGAGATGTTAGCCAAGGCACAGAGATGAGGAATGAAGAGTTCCTGGCAGAGGGAACAGCATGTGTGAAGGCCCAAGAAATAAAGCAATGGGACCTATGGCCCTGTTTATTTTGTCAGCTGGGACAAACATTTTTAAAATTAGCCTGTTTTCCAACTTCTTTTGGAAAAATCATAAAACCTATTTGCATTGAACTAGAATTCCTGCAAGGCAACATATTGGCTGGAGTGGAAGAGGGCCTGCCCTTTGGGGCACAGCACATGCTCTCCAGTGCACCCCAGTCCCCACCACACTCTTGTCTCACATCTGGCTCCTCTAGGCATTTGAGTTTACAACCTCTGGACTAGCTCTGGACTAGCTGATCCTGTTCTCCCGCTCTCTTTCCTCTCTCGGGCTTTGCCCATGCTGTCTGGCATTGAATGCCCTTTCTCATGCATGCTGCCTCTTTTGCGGCTTTTCACATCAAGTGCCTTAACAGATGTTCCTGCCTGTCTCCCCCACCAAATGGCAGGGCCTGAGCAGATTCCAGCGCAAGTCTCAGCACACAGAATAACTCAATACACCTTTGGGGAATGAAATAGTGGATGATGTCCTGCCCAGTGGATGCTGAAATATCGGTCAAGGGCTGAGCTGGGGAATCTCAGAAAGCCAGGCTCCCCCTGGGGCAGGACAGCAATTCTCAGAACTGTCCCAGCTACAAGAGGCCCGAGGGCAGACTGTCTCTTTTAATTTTCATTTTCCAGAAAAGAAAAGAGTAGCCTAGAAAGGTTAAGGGACTTGCCCAAGACTCCCCAGTGAATCAGGGGCAGAGCCAGAGAGCATGGGCCTGAACAGTTCCAGCAGTTTCAGCCACTAGAGGGCAGCCTCACGCTGAGGCTTGTTGGAAGAAGTGGGGACCCAAGCAGGTATTGCACTCAAGTGCTCATTGCCCACTGTCTTTCTCCTGTTCAGGTTATGGCCACATGGCTCCACTATCAGCAGGTGGAAAGGCTTTCTGTGTGGTCTACGTGGCCCTGGGGCTGCCAGCTTCCCTAGCCCTTGTGGCCATACTGCGCCAGTGCCTGCTGCCTCTGCTCAGCTGCCCGGTTACCTGGGTAGCTGTCCGCTGGCAACTGGCCCCAGCCAGGGCTGCGCTGCTGCAGGCAGTTGGACTGGGCCTGCTAGTGGCTGGTACCTTCATGCTGCTGCCAGCACTGCTGCTGTGGGGTCTGCAGAGCAACTGCAGCCTGCTGGAGGCCATCTACTTCTGCTTCGGCTCACTCAGCACCATCGGCCTGGGGGACCTGCTGCCTGGTCATGGCCGTGACCTGAATCCAGTGCTTTACCATCTTGGCGAGATTGCACTTCTTGGTGAGTCCAGCTGCCAAGGAGCACCAGTGGGAGGAGAGGAGGGAAAAGAAGCCTGGACTCCCATTAACCACTGGGGGAGGCTAAGCCTCACAGGTGGAGGGAATATAGTTGGAAGAACTCAGATGGCAGAGAACTGTGAATGGCATCAGGTGCCAGGGTGGGTCAACAGGCTGGGAGGTGGGCAGAGAGCATCAGCACCCCAAAGCTGCCCTAGCAACCTTTCCTCCCCAGGTTACTTGCTCCTGGGGCTCCTGGCTATGCTGCTGGCAGTGGAGACGTTCTCAGAACTGCCACAGGTCCGTGCCTTGGTGAAGTTCTTCGGGTCCAGTGGGCCTTTGACTGCTGAGGACCAAGGTGGCATGCTAGGCCAGGATGAACTGGCTCTGAACACCCTGACCCCCTCAACTGCAGCCCCAGAACAGGCCCCAGCTTGCTGACAGGTGTCAGGTGGTGGAGTTAACTCCTTTCAGGTGAAGAAACCCAAGAGGACGCCTCTAGAGATGGGAGGGGAGGGGTGGATGTAAGGACCTCAGAGAGTAAAATGTTAATAAAATAAAACGAGCAACAACCCCAACTGTGTTTTTGTCTCCTCTTTGGAAATGCTTCTTCCTTGCAGTGACCAACAAGTCGAACCCCCATCAACCTTCCAAGGCTGAAGTCCCACCTCGGCTGGATCTGGGAACCTCAAAGCCCCAACAGCCCCGTTTCGGATCGCAGACAACCTTATCGGCCTAGGCACCAACCCCTTCCGCCTATTGAAAACCCACGCTATCCCGAGAAAGGGCGGGCGCGGGTGTAGACTTGTCCGACTTTATTGCTCACAAGGAACAGGAAGCAGAGCAGGGCGGGCGCGGCAGTTCACAACCATCCCGCTCCCCGGGGGCTGGCCACCGGGGCCCTGCAGTCGAGCAGGGGTTCTGCGCGGCGTTTCGGGGACCCCCCCGTCCCCGCGAACACTCACTCACTCACTCACTCACTCACTCACTCACTCACTCACTCGGACAAATAAATACGGCCCGACGGCGCGGGAGCCCAGCCGCTCGTCCTTCGGAAGCGAAGGGCCGCCCTCCCCGCCCTGGTCAAGGGACGACAGCGGCCCCTACAGGCCGCGCGCGGCAGCCGCGAGGCCCGTAGTCCGCGCACACCGAGGGCAGCGACCCGGCGCCGCGACGGGAAAGCCGAGGGCTCCGGCGGCGCGGCCTCAGCTCAGCACACAGCGTTCGCGCCGGCTCAGCTGCCGGCTCAGCTTGCGGCGCCGCTGCTCCAGGCCGCGCTCCAGGCGCTCGTCCTCCTCCAGGGCGCTGGGAAGGAAGGGGTGCACGTCAGCCCGCGGGCCCAGCACTCCTGGGAGCGCGCTCCCGGACCCTCCCCGCTCCCAGCGCCGTCTGGGCCCCACTCACATCCGCTCCTTGTGGTCCAGGTCCCGGACCAGCTCGTCGCGCTGGTTCACCAGCGACACCAGCTCCTCCAGTAGGAGCTGCTCTCGGTGCTGCTGCGCCGCCGTTTTCAGCCGGTCTGAGGGCGGAACAGGAGGGGGTCAGGAGGCACTGGCCGCCGCTCTGTCCTCGCCCCGGCCCCTCCGGCCCCATCTCCCACCTTCGATGGCCAGCATAGCCCGTAGCTCCCGGCTCAGCAGCTCGAACCTCCGCTCCAAGTCCTGCTCCTCGATGCTGGGAGGCGAAGGTGCCAGGTCAGGGACAGGCGAACGGGGGGGTGTGATGGCCCCTTGCACCTCACCACCAGCTCCCGCAGAGGGCTGGGCTGAGGGCAGAGCTGTATCCTGGCGTCAGTCATCTCTTTTGTCCCACCTGTTCCCCAACTGCTGGATATTTATATTGTCTCCTCCCACCCCCGACCCCCTCTTTAATTTATTTATTTTTAAATTACTGATTTGAGAGAGAAACGTGGATATTGTTGTTCCACTTAATTGTGCATTCATTGGTTGCTTCTTGTATGTGCCCTGACCGGAGATGGAATCAGTGATCTGGGTGTATGAAGACCACCCCTAACCAACTGAGCTACCCTGCCAGGGCTCCCCACCCCTTCCCTTTTTAAAAATTAAAAACAGCCCTGCCTGGCCCGTGTGGCTCAGTGGTTGAGCTTCAACCTACAAGAGGCCGTCTGTTCAGTTCCCAGTCAGGGCACATGCCCAGGATGTGGGCCAAATCCCCAGTGCGACACATGCAGGAGGTGGCCGATCGATGTTTCCATCTCTCCCTCTCCCTTCCTCTGTCTCTCTAATACATCAATAAAAAAAAAAAAATTTTTTTTTAAAATAAATAAATAAAATCAGCCCTGCCTGGTGTGGCTCAGCAGTTAGAATGTACCCAGGGCACGTACCCAGGGCACGTACCCAGGTGGTGGGTTCAATCTCCGGTTTGGGCACGTATGGGAGGCAACAGATTCATGTTTCTCTAGCTCCCTCTCCTTTCCTTTCTCTCTAGAGTCAATGACAAAAAAATCCTCAGACGAGGATTTAAAAAATAATAAAATAAAATAAACCAGTGGGATTATTTGCATGAACATTATTCATAAATAGCAAGTACTAAACTAAAATTATTCTGAGAAAATATCCAAAATGAAAAAGGGAGGTTAAACCACCTCTACCATGCAGGACTACAAAGGTGATGATGGCCCAAGAGGCTTTTGACCCCACTCAGGAAACCAACTTAGATCTCTCTAGGCCTCAGTTTTCCTAACTGTGAAGGAACAAGGTCAAACTAGGGCACCCAGCCTGGACCTGTCTGTACCACATTTTTCTCTCATTAGTAAAAATAGCACCAGTTTAAGAGGTACACACTTTATACAGAAAATTAAATAGGAAAAAAGTTAAGATGTCTGAGCCATTTTTCAACAAGATCTTCATAGAAAGAAGAAAGCAGTGAGTCACTCTAACCAAAGTAGCTAAGCTTCTCTGCTCTGTGGGCCCCAGGTGGGCCAGGTGGGGCCTGGACAGAGAGGTGCCAGCACTCACAGCAGCTGAAGCTGGTCCTGCCTCCGGATGAGAGCATTCTTCTTGTTGACCAGTGTGAACCACTCCTGGATCAGCATCTCCTCCTGCAGCCTGTTGGCACCTGAACCAGACCTGGACAGTCACCAGGCCTGCCCATAAAGCCAGTGGGGTTGTGGAGGGGGCCTGTTCCCTTATGGCATCCCAGAAGCCAGAGCTGTGTGCTTCCAGCAAGCTGCTTCCTTGCTCAGGGCCTCAGTGTGCCCAGCTATACCATGAGGGCAATGAACCCAGTCTTGCCTCCTCCCAACTCCTCCCAAGGTCAGGAAGGGCTGCAGGACTGGGCAGATCTGGTAGCATGGTTTGGGGAGTGGACTCTAGATGCCTGGCCCACCTGACTCCATAAGGCTCCTCAGTTGTGTCTCCACCTCAGCTGCCCGCCCATCTATCTGCCTCTGCTCCTGTTCCAGGGCCTGTAGCTCTGCGCACACGTACTGACTTGTGTCCTGGAACCGTTGCTGGGATAAAAAGGGGGGAGGGGACAAGGAACAGGGTGGGTTCAGCCCAGGTTCTGCCTAGGAAGTGCCCACTCATCAGCTCCTCCCACCTCAGCCCATCTTACCAGCCCAGCCTCTTCCCCTGGGCTTGGGGGTAGCTCCTCCAATGGGGGACTCCCACCTGCAGACAGAGATCAGGCTAAGGAACCTCCAACTGACACCTGCCCCCAAGAAGTCCCCAGTGCAGGATCTATGAGCAGCCAGAGCTGAGCTGGGTCACCACCCCTTCAAAACTACTCACCAGAGGGCTGCTGTGGGGCTGGGGCTGTGGGGGGGCTGGAGGCAGGGCTCAGGCCTTCCTGTGGAGGAAGGAAACACTGAGGACCTGGAGGGGTCCCCCAACAATCCTGCCCTGGGGCCAGCCAGAGCCTACACATGTAGGGAAGGGCCCTCAATTCCACACCCTGCACACCCCAGCTGTGTCCAGTCCTGCACACACAGCACTTCAACCCCTCCCCTCTAGGAAGAGTGCCTCCTCAAAGGAAGGCCATGGACTTCACCATCCCTGACCCTGTGGTCCTGGGCCAGTCCACAGCCACTCTCTGAGCTGTACCATCTTCGTTCCTGGGGCCTCACAGGGCTTTGGTGAAAGTCAGGGGTGAAAGGCTGTGAAGGGGCCAACTGAAACCTCTCCCCCTTCTTGCTCTCTCTTCCATGGAGCTCCCTCGGGCCACCTCTGTCTGACTCCTACCACCTAGTGCTGGCATCTCCATCATGGCCAGGGCCCCACACAGTGATACAGAGTTGACCTGAGTAGCCATCCTGAGCCAGCACTTCCACCTACTGACCAAAAGGGGGCGATCTGTTATAAATTCCTATGCCTAGAGCCAGCCCCACTTCACATACTACTCAGAACAGGACAGGTTGGCTGAAACTACCAATTTTGGCCTGGATGGCCCTGCCCCTAGTGACTTCCTGGAAGGTCAGACTTGGGGGCTCCCAACTTTCAGCTCAGCTGATAGCCAGGCTTCACTGATGGCTCCTGCTCTGGCCACCTTCCTAGGTCACAGGGCAGAAAAAAGGTGTTGAACCATCCTGTACCTCTCTGAGAGGGAGCCCTGGACACCCCTTGCTCAGTCCATCTCTCTGACCTGAGTCAGTGGTGGCCTCCTCACCAGCCACTACCCATGCCCTGCCTGCTGACTGTACCCTCAAGTCACAACTGAAGGGTTTTCCTAAAACCTTCACCACGCCTACCTCAACCCCCAGCCTCTTCGGCAAGGCCTACTGGCAGCTCCAATCTCAACTCCCACTACCCTGAACCCCACCCAGCCACCACCCTCCAGCTACCGTCATGGACTTTCAGCTTTCACTTCCCCAAAGAGCTTCCTCAGCCTGGAGTCTGCTGTACACCAACTTGACCTTCATGACCCAGTTCATCTCCACCTCCTCCAGAAACTTCTTTGGGTTCCCATACCACTTTCTGCCTCCCTCTTTGACCTTCATGCCTCATGAAGTGCCCCCTGAGCCCCAGGCTGGGCAGATGCTCCCTCCACAGCCTCCTGGGCCTCCCCCATCACAGCTCCAACCCCATCTCCCACCCCATCATGGCTGTTGGTTACCCATGTCTCCCTGACCAGAAGTAGCCCCTGCAGACAGGATGGGACCCAGAGAATGCACTCTGAGCATACTGATTAACATAATAAAACATGTTAATAAAACATTTAATATTAACATTATTAAATAATAGCTGACATTGATTAAGCACTCACATGTGGGGCATTATGCATGTATTGACTCATTTAGTTCTCCCAACAACCCTGGAAGGCAGGGCCGACTACCATCCCCATTTTACAGATGAGGAAACTGAGGGTCAGAGATGCAGCTCATACAGGGCCTAAGGCCCAGGGCTATTTAATCCAAAGGTTTGTTCCTAAATTTGGCTACCAATTTGCTGTTTGCCTCTGGGCTGAACACACCCACTGGGCCTCTGTTTGTGTTCTTGAATGTTAGTATCCTGGGGCTCCAGTGCTCCAGAAAAACATCTGGGGGGAAACACAGCTCCCTTTTTAGAAAGCACCCGAAGTGGCATCTCAATGTTACTTTGCAAAAAACTTTCATGCTTTTGCCTCTCATCTTCAGGAAAAGAGCACAGAGAGGTTAAGTGGCTTTCCCAGGGTCACAGAGCCAGTCAATAGTGCTGGGCCCAGTAGACCACACCATAGTTCAGGCTCAGAACCTGGGTTCACACCTGTATCGACTCCCTTTGCCTCTTTCATCATCTCCCTGAGCCTCAATGTTCTCACCTACAAAATGAGTCATTCCTCCCTGGAAGAGGCATTGTGGAGTCAATGAGGGGTTGTGGGGGCAGGCCAGGCATACAGCAAGAACTCAACCACCAAGGCAGGCAGAGGCAGGAGAGTGGACAAACCCCAACCTCAGCAGCAACTGAGCTTACTCACACCAGCCCTGACGGGAATTCCAATACTTCCTCATGTCTGACCCAAATTCCCCTCCCTACACCCTGATGTATGGCGCCTCCTCCAGGAAGCCTTTCTGAACTGCACCAGAGGCATACTGCCCTCCTCATGGCACTGCTTCAGCCCCACCCCCCTCCTGACTTCATCCCATTCCAGGACTTTGGGAGTGCCCAAGGGCGAGGCCAGGCCTGACATCTTCCCACTGCACACGTGAAGCATGGGGGATGGGAATGGCCAATGAGAAGTCCCCTCTAGTCCCACTGGTCAAATATCTCCTGTGGGACAAGAAGGGGAGGAAGGCATGGCTTGGAAGGACCAGGTACTGGGACTTGGGCACAGAAGACTGTAGGATGAAGTCTCCCCTTTAATATTTAAAGAACCACTGACACATTAACAAAGCTGTGTTCAGAGGCCAACAGACAGGCCAGGCCAGGAATGGCATCTCCTCTGGTACCTCTGGGGCCCTCCCTGTCTCTCATCACAGGCTCAATGCTGTGCTCTGACCCTACATTCAAGGCTTCTTCGCCCCAGGCTGGCCTCACCACCACCTGTGGACCTGATGGGAGACGCATGACAGTTCCCCACTTGAGACCTGAGAGTTCCTGCTCCCACGTTTTTGCTCACCCGGGTCCCTCCACTTTAGAACCATCCCTCCCATTTTCCCCCTAGGAAACCTGCCTTTCTTATCAGCCTGACTCAAATGGCTGCTTCTTCCAGAAAGCCTTTCCCGGTTTATTTCCTTCTTCCCTTAAAAGTCAGGAGCCGTCCCCAGGCAGCTAGCTGAAGGCTTGGAGTGGCCTGGCAGCTGCTCTTGCTGTCGCAGGCAGAATGATGTAGTGGGTGAACCCCAGCTGGAAAGCCCGTGGCCTGGGCTTCCGTGGCTTTGCATTGTTGAGCAAACCCCTGCCCTCTCTGGGATCACATCCCCTTTACGATTCGCAGTGACCACATGAAACCCTGGTAGACTCTAACCTGAGACCCGCAGGGAATGTGAGGACTTGGGTGCCTAGCAGGGTCTCCAATCTCCAGCTTCCCATTATCACAGAAAAGAGGAACCGTCTCCAGCATGGGAGTTAAAGACCCAAGTCAGAGACTCTTGGTGTTGGGAAGCCCTGAAAGGCCCCCTTCAGTATAGAAACATTGCTCCCAACTTCTAGGGCAGTGACTGCTACTGGTTAACCCTGGGCCACCCGCAGGGGAAGAAAGGTCCCAGTCCACTTTAAAGTCCATATCGAGTCCTGGCTGATTTGGCTCAGTGGTTAGAGCATCGGCCTGCGGTCCAGAGAGACCAGGGTTCGGTTCCCGCTAAGGGCGTGTTCCTTGGTCGCAGTTTGTCCCTGGCCCTGGTTGGGTCGTGCAGGTGGCAACCACTCGATGTGTCCCTTTCACATCGATGTTTCTCTCTCCCCCCTTCTCTGTCTCCCTCCCACTCTATCTGAACAAAAAACGAAAAAATGTCCTCAGATGAGGATAAAAATAAATAAATAAATAAAGTCCAGATCGAGTGTTGCACTGAGTGCTAACAACCTGGAGCCTTCTAGGAATTTCCTTCTATGGCCCATGATTTCACAAGCTGGATGCCAAGACTTAAAAACCACCAGCATAGCCTGGCTAGTGTGGCTCATGGATTGAGCGTCTTCCCATGGACTGAGAGGTCCCTGTTCAATTCCTGGTCAGGGCACATGCCGGGGTTGCAGGCTCAACTGATCCCCAGTAGGGGACGGCAGGAGGCAGCCAATTGATGTTTCTCTCTCACATTGATGTTTAGATCTCTCTCTCTAAAAAATAAAAACATTAAAAAATAAACAAAAACAGCCCTGGCTGGTTTGACTCAGCAGTTAGAGGGTCGGTCCGTGGACCAGAGAAGCCCAGGTTCGCTTCTGCTAAGGGCACGTACCTCAGTTGCGGTTTGTCCCAGGCCCGGGTGGGATTGTGTGGGTGACAGCCACTCGATGTGTCTCTCTCACATCGATGTTCCTCTCTCTCTCTCTCTTTTTATTTTTTTTATCCTCACCCGAGGACATTTTTCCAACTTTTGTACAGATAGAGTGGGAGGGAGAGAGAGGAAGGGAGAGAGAGAGAAACATCGACGTGAAAGGGACACATCGAGTGGCTGCCACCCGCATGACCAACCAGGGCCGGGGACAAACTGCAACCGAGGTACGTGCCCTTAGCGGGAACCGAACCCGGGTCTCTCCGAACCGCAGGCCAACGCTCTAACCGCTGAGCCAAACCGGCCAGGGCCTCTCTCTCTCTCTCTCTCTCTCTCTCTCTCTCTCTCTCTCTCTCTCTCCCTCCCTCCCTCCCTCCCTCCTGCTCTATCTCAAGATAAATGCAAAAATGTCCTCCAGTGAGGATAAAAAATAAAAACAAACAAACAAAAAGAAAAAAACAAAAACACCAGCACATACCCAAGGCGGGTGGCCGTGGCCAGGACCTTTCCCCAGGGACATGGAGGCCTTGCTGACTCTTCCGCAGGCACCAAGGTCCCTCTAATCAGAAAATGCCTCCCGGAGCCCAGCTGAGTCTCTACTCCCCATCCCCAAGCCGGTACCCCACGCTGGCTCTGCCCTTGGGGCCCCTTGGGATCCACCCCTTTGCTCCCGGGACCCCCAGAACACCGGGAGGCACTCACTGCAGCCGGGGCTCCGGTGGTTCCCGGGGCTCCGGAGTCGGGGTCGTCCACCGAGAAGGAGTTGCTGTTTCGCAGCCGAGAGCGCCTCTTCTTTAGTAGGTCTGCGTCGCGCACGTGGGAGAAGGAGCCGTGCGCGCGCGGTGGGGGCACCGGCCCCGCTTCTCCGTTCACCGATGACCGCCGCAGCCGCACGCCGCCCCCGGCACCTGGCGCTCCTGCCCCATTCACCAGCCCCTCGGTCGGGGGCACTGGCACTCGGCTTCCCGGGCCTTCAGCCGGGGCATCCGCAGAGAGTGCCTCCTGGGCGGCCTTGGCCACCCCGTGGTCCTCGGAAGCCGCCTCGGGGGCTGCCCCTTCCACGCGGCTGGCGACCTCCTTGGGTTCCTCGGGCGCCTCGGCCTGGTGCTCACGCAGCCGCTGTGCCAGGCCACTGGCATCCAGGTCGTTGGGCGGGCTGGACTGGGCGCTGGCTACGCGGTAAGTGCCTGCGCCGCCGCCCCCCTCCAGCTGCACCAGCTGCAGCTCCTGCCCCGTGCAGAAGGCACGGATCTGGCACAGGTACGTCATGACTATGAGCTTGTCGGGCACCGACAGCAGCACCATGTCTGCCGGCTCCAGCAGCCGCGACACGCCCAGGGCCGCGAAGCCATCGAAGGCCTAGGAGCAATGTGCTTGGGGTCGGTGGTGGGTGTTACCCAGCTTCGCTGTGGGCCCGCCCTAGACTACTGGGGGTCCCCACGACCTTCAGGCCAGGGTTTGCCTAGCAACGCCTTCACCCTCCTATTGGGGGAAATGTAGCAACAGGGCCCACCCTCACATTACCCAGCAACTGCACAGGCAAGAGTGGTTTTGGAAAAACTACCTAGTGGAAATATGCTTAAAAACACTCACACAACTAAATTATGGAAAATGAACAACTTAAAAGACCAAAAGGGTAAAAGGTGGCAGAACTTCCAAAAGCCAGAACTGGGGCCCACCAGCCCACATTCCTCTTCTACAGACAGGCTGACCCGGATCTTGGACCTCGGCCTGGCTCCAGAACCCCTTTCCCTCCAGGCATTGCTCCCTCCCATCTCACCTGCTTGTTGTTCTGCTTGATGTTGAGTGGGTCAAGGGAGGCATAGTCACTGTGGAGAGAGCTCTGGTCAGAGGCTGGGTTCACACTGCGCTCCTGGCAGGCTCTCCGATTCATTCCCACCCCCTCTAGCCGCTCACATCTTGTCTGGGTAGAATCGGTGCAGGATGGCACAGAAGGCCAAACCATTTCGCCAGGATGTAGTGAAGTTGGTCACTCGGACGCCACGGTAGCCAGCGGTGACTTCCTGGCACCATTCTAGTAGGGACTGGCTGGAGCTGACCAGGGTGGGCAATGCCTAGGGACACAGGGACGGGCTCAGGGAATGTGAACATGTGCCCTCTGCCCCTTGGGCATAAAACAGCCCCAGCTCTGGGTTTGTAGGAGTCACCAGAGACCACTGGCCAGAGCCTCAGAGTCAGACAAAAGGGTTTCCAGCTCTGGGGTTATCTACCCAAGTGGCCTAGGAGATCAGTGGCTCCCAGGCAAGATCAAAGGTCACTAGCAGCCACACCTCAAGGTCAGCCCAGAAAAATCAGCTCAGGGATGTCCCACTCCATGCAGCCCAGGAAAGACAGGGTGGGGGAACCAGGGCATCCTGAGAGAGGAAGGGGTGAGGGGGCTCCATGAAGCTGAGCCCCTGTCCCACCCCACCCCGGTCAACCAGGTGGGTCCATGCAGAGCCGCTGTTAGCTCAGCCCCAAGTTAGTGGAAAGCAGAAGACTGGGCCCTCAGCAGCCCCCATCCCTACCTGGCTGCCCGGCAGCCTCCTGTCCTCTTCAGGCTCCTCTGGGGAGGGGGCCCCCGAGGGCCTGGGCACCCCAGCCCCTGCCCCACTGGCCACCTGTGCCTCAGCCAGGCTGGCCTCAGCTTCTTTCCCCTTCTCAGTTCCCAAGACCCGAGTCTCTGCTTCCTGAGCCTCAAAAATACCAGATTGGTTTTCTGGAGGACCTAAAACTTCCATCTCTGTTTCATGGGCCCCCCTAGACTTGACCTCTGAAATCCCCAAAACCTCAGCTTCCACCTCCTGGACCCTTAAAACTGAAGTCTCTGCCTCTGCTCCCTGGGACCCTAAAACTCCATGCTTGGTAACTGGGGCTTTTAAAGTCTCATATATGAAGCCCCCCAAGAGCCCAGTCTCTGCCTCCAGGGCTCCAGAGATCTTAGCCTTTTCAGCCTCCAAAACTGTAGTTTCTGTCTGTTGAGTCCCTAGTCCCTCAGCTTCTGCCATTCCAATTTCTGGCCCTGAGACCCCTGAATCCTCCACCTGGGCCCCTGCTGTCTCGGTCTCCACTCCTGGGACCCTTGAACCCCCAGCTGCTATCTCCTGGGTCCCCAGTAACTCACCTTCTGCTATCTCAATCTCTATCCCTGGGACCCCTGAACCCCCTACCTCTGTTTCTTGGGCTCCTATTATCTCAGATTCTGTCTCTGGGACCCTTGAATACTCAGCTGTTTTCTCCTGGGTCCCCAATATCTCAGCTTCTACCGTCTTAGTCTCCATCCCTGGAACCTCAGAATCCCCTAACTCTATTTCTTGGGTCCCTGATATCTCAGACTTTATTGCTGAGACCCCTGACCCCCCCATCTCTGTATCATGGGCCCCCAATATTGAAGGTTCTGCTATCTCAGCTGCTATCCTCAGTACCACTGAGCCCCCTGTCATCTCCTGGGTCCCCAATATCTCAGTCTCTGCCATCCTAGTCTTTGCCTCTGTTTTCTGGGTCTCCAGTTCCTCAGACTCTGCAATCCCAGTGGATTCTGACTCCAGAACTCCAGATCTCACTGCTTCTGTCTCCTGGGACCCCAATATTCCAGCTTCTGCTGTCCCAGTGTCTATCTTTGGGAACCCTGGTCCCTCTGCTTCTGTCTCCTGGGTATCCAAAACCTCTGACTCTACCATCCCCATCTCTGTTCCCAGGACCCTCAAGTCACCAGTTTCTGCCTTCCAGACCCCCAGATCCCTAGACATTGCCCCCTGGTCAGCTGCAGGTGGAGCTCCCTGGTACTTGCTCACCTGAGGCCTGGTGCTTGCTGCTCCAACAGAGGGGCCCTGCTCCACGCCTGTCCCCTCAACACCAGAGGCCCCGCCCTTCACCTCTGCATCCTCTCTCTGCTGGCCTGCAGCAGCCCAGGACCCCTTGGAGTCACTGAGATGCCCAGAATGCCCTGCGAGTTTTGCTGGGGGTGAGCTCTGGATAGTAGGAGCCTCATCCCCAGTCCTGACCCCTGTCCTCCCCTGAGAGGCCCTCAGAGGAGCCTCAGGAGTCCCCTTGAAGCTTTTCTCAGACATCACCACTGTAGTCTCTGGTCCCTTAGTGTCCACATGTCTCATCTTTGACCTCTGTTCAGCATCTACTTGACTAACTTCTGAACTCTCTTCAGCCTCCCCACTTCTGACCTTTGACCTCTTAGTGTTCACTTCTCTGACTTCCAACCCCTGCTCAGTGTCCACCCCACTGGCCTCTGGCCTGTCCCCCAGGGTGCCTTCCTCAACCTCGGCTTTCTGCCTCCCCACAGAGTTTCTGCAGCCTCCGTCCTCAACGCCTGGGCTTGGCCTGGCTCCCTGGGCCTCTGTCTGAGGGCTTGCCTGGGCCTGGGTCTCCCCAGCAGAACCCACTCCTGCTGAGGGAGCCCCCGAAGCTTTGGGGGCCTCATCCTTCTCTTGGGGGACTGAGGGCCAGGGGGCATCAGAGCCTTTCCGGAGCCGAGGGGCCGGGATGGGTGCCAAAACCTGGCCTGGATGTCTCAAAGACCTGAGGAGAGAGCAGGAGGGGGCATTGGGGGAGTCATTTGGCCCCCCCCTGAGCCCCCACCCCCCCCTTCAGATTGCTGGAGCACTGGAAAAGCAGATAGGCAGGGGGAGCGCAGCTTCCTAACAGTTGTCAGGGCACGGGGAGGGCTGGTTCCAAAGCTCACCTTGTCTCCAATGGGGCTTCCGGGGGCCTTAGGGCTTCAGGCCCCACCTGGCCCCCGGCCACAGTAGCTGGTTCTGACCCCTGGCCCCGGGAGGCCCTGGCTGGGGGCGCAGGGGCACTCACAGGCGCTGGGCTGGTCTCCACAGTACTGGAAGGGCTGGCAGCTGGGGAAGAAGGGGCGGTGCTGAGGCCTGGGCCCTGTGACTGGAGGGCCAGTCCCCATCCAGCCCCAGCCTAGTCCTCACCTGCCTGCCAGGGCGGTGCTCGGCCTTCCTTCTCCTCATAAAGTATCTTCAGCTCTCGAGAGGGATCTGGGGAAGGGTTTGGTGGGGCTGGCTCAGCCCAGGGCAGAGCCCTGAAGGTCTGACCCCCTCCCTCCAACTGGAGGACTGGGCCTACCTGGGAAACGCCCTGGCCTCAGGGCACCGCCCTGGCCTGTGCGAGAAGAGACAGGCCCACGAATGCAGGAAAAAAGAGAGAAAACCACAAGGACACACAGGAAAAAGCCTTAAGTTAAAAGGAAGGACAAGGAAGCTAGTGACAGAGGATGAGTGTGAGTGGTGAGGGTGGTGAGACCAGACCACAGTCTCTCTGCCCTTTCGGTGCAGCTGTTGCAGGGCAGGTACAAGGCTGCGGAGGCTCCCGCTCAGGGGTGAGGAGAGGGCCAGGGGCACGGGGAAGCACTGGGAACGTGTCCTGAAGGACTCGGCTACGGACCCAGGCCACCACAGGACCAGGAGCCAAGTCTGGACAACCAGGGCTGCAGGGCAGGTTGGAGCCACCTGGGCCACAGTGAGCTCCCATCACTGGGTGTGCACAAGCTGGCGCTGCCCCAACATGGCAAGTGGCTTATACATCATATCGCCCACCCCCCAGGCTTGGTGGTCTCAGTCCACGTCCACGGCGGGCTGTGAGCCCACCTGGCTTGGGGGCACGAGCTCGTGCCTCAGAGGCCCCTGCACCATTAGCCTCCTCCTCGTCACTCTCAGCAAAGTCGTCCAAGTTGCCCACGTCACTAGGCTTCACGCTCATAAGGCTCGCAAGACTCTGCATGTCATCATCCCTGGGGGTCAGACGTCAGGGGTGAGGGATGGGGTCAGAGGTTGAAAACTAGGGCCAAGGAGGGCAGGTGGGCACTCACGTAGCACGGCCCTCTCGCAGCAGCACACTCGAGAGGGTGACGCTCAACTCTGCATGCACCACCTTCACTGACTTGGCCTTCAGCCGCAGCCGCAGCGGAACCTGGGCAGGCACGGGTCCTGCGTGGCGGGCCAGGTCCACCTCGGCTAAGGCCAGCACCTTCCGCTGCCCCTTGGACTCCTGTGGGCCAGGGGGAGGGGTCAAAGGATGCATATCAGTGCTGCCCCAGAGTCGCCAAGACCCCAGACCCCAGCCCACCGTAGTCACTCACATTCTCAATAACAAACGTCCACTCTTTGGCCTCATACTGGTCCATGTGGGGGTCCTGGGAAAAGGGGTCACTGGTGAGTACAGAGGCTGCTGAGTAGAGGCCGTGCAGGGAGAAGAGCCTGGGCTGGCACAGGTGTTTGGTTGGGGCCTTCACACATGCTGGTGCATCCTGCCTGGGACGCTCCCTCACTTCTCCAGATCCCAGCTGTCTCTCCTACTGCATGTGGCAAGTAAATGTGACCTCCTCCAAGGAGACTTCCTGGCCACTCACACTGTTCTTTCCTATTTGGATATGCAACCCACCATGGGAGCCCCGTGGCTGCCTGGGGCTGATGTCACCAGCCCAGTCCCTTCTATGTAGAAGGCTAGAGACTCACCCTGTATAGGGTCACAGAGATGTCCACATTCTCAGGTACCATCCACACCACGGTGCCCCGATATGGGTTCTGGATGCCCGGCTGCCAGCTGTGGGCCTACAATGAGCAGTCTGAGTCATTCCCCAATCTGAACTCTCCCCCACCCCTTTGCCCTTGTCTCCAACCTTGACCGCATCTTTCTCTCCATTCTGTGGATTCGTGAACCTGACTCCATGACCCCATCAGCCCTCACCGGCCCCACCCCTAACCTGGATCCCCAGTTAACAGTTCCCCCACCTTGGAGCAGATGCGTCGGTTCCGCCGGGTCCACACCACCACCAACTTATCCGGTTGCCTGGGTGGGGTCCGGGAGGAGAGGGGGCTACTCAGTAGGCTGCCCAGCTTCTTCATCTCTTCCAAGGTCTTCCCTCTGCCCACCTCCCTCTCCCCCAGGAGAGGGCATGGAGAGCCCCATATCTGGGGCCACAGAGATCAGGGTGGGGCTGCTAAGGAAGGGTGGGGCCCAGGGCAGAAGGGCAAAGGCCCAATGTGGGTCAGCAGAGATTATGAAGAGCTATAGGGAGAAAGAGACATATATGGAGAGGCACAGAGATACACAGAAACGCAGCAAGGACACTGCAAGAGGCACAGATCAGGGACAAGAAGTCCGTTCACACACAAATTTTTTTTTTTTTTTGGTATGTGCCCCTAGAGGGAACTGAACCTGGGACTTTGGTCTGCAGGCTGATGGTCCAACTGCTGAGCCAAACAGGCCAGGGCATATGCACAAATATTTGTGAAGTCCAGTTCAGAGGCAGAGCAGAGCAAAGCAGAGGCCCTTCCGGGGCTCAGGACAACAAAGGTGGAGGAAGAGAGCTAATCAAAAAGAGCCAGGCTGGTGTGTCTTGTGGATTGAGCTCGTCCTGTGGTCCCAGTTGATTCCTGGTCAGGGCACATGGATCCCCAGTAGGGGGCGTGTAGGAGGCAGCAGATTGATGCTTCTCTCTCACATGGATGTTTCTCTCTCTCTCCCTCTCTAAAAGAAAAAAATCAATAAAAATTTTTTTTTTAAAGAAGAAAAAGAAATTAAGCTGACTTCAGGAAGAAGGGAAAGAGATGCTAGGGTTTCCTTAAAATTGGGTGTGGGAGCAGAGGCATGAGTGGGGGAGGAAAGGGCTGTGCGAGGGTCTGGAGGAGGGCTCCAGGTAGAAGGAATGGTAAGTGCAAAGGTCCAAGTTTGGGGGGATGCTGAGGGTGGATTAGAGTTGGGAGCAGAGGGTGAGAGGTGGTCAGAGACACTTGCTATTAGACACCCTCCCAGGGCCTTCTATACCCAGTCCTTTGCTGGGCCCAGGGGCCTGGAGAGTCAGCCATGCTTCCCACCTCTCAAACCCAGAGCCCTGGACCCTAGTTGTGCAGGGCCCTTGACTCCCGTGAGGGGCATCAAGGAAGACTCCAGGTTCTATCTAAGCTGAACAGCATTTGCAGGGGCAGACTCAGAGGAGAGGCAAAGATGTGAGAAGACAGAGACCAATCAAGAGGAGAGTCAGCCCTGGCCGGTGTGGCTCAGTGGGTTGTGGGTTCGATTCCCAGTCAAGCATGTACCCAGGTTGCAAGTTTAATCCCTGGCCCTAGTCAGGGTCCTGTGGGAGGCAACCAATTGATGTGTCTCTCACATGGATGCTTCTCTTTCTCTCTCTCATTCTCTCTCCCTCTCCCTCCCTCCCTTCTACTTTCTCTAAAAGTCAATAGAAAAATATCTTCGGGTGAGGATTAACAAAAAAGAGGAGAGTCACCCGTGCAGGGCTTAGTCCCAGACTTGGAGCTGACACATGGCTGGGTCTTGGAGGAAGAGGGCCCCTTGGGTTAAAGGGTCCAACTGCTGCCCAGGAGAGTGGGGATGGTTGAGGACAACACAAGAGCCCTCCTTGCCTGTACCCAGTCCCATGCCAGGACACTTGAATTCACCCAGTTCACTGCCCCTCTGGAGTCTGAGCCAAAATAAATGGCTCTACTGTCAACCCCTGAGGATGCTGAGACATGGCGAGATTGGGGGGCAGGCAAGGTCACACAGCTGACTCTAGAGTCCTCTGGCCTGGAGCCAAGCTCTTCTTCCCAGCCCCAAACTGCAGGGGATGGCTGAGCAAGAGTATCCATGGGGCCTTCCCAGAAAGGGGAAGTGGACAAGGGGTGCCTAGGGAGGGCAAGGCCTGGCCAAGCAACCTGACTCAGGCTGGACATGCCTTCCTGAGGAGCTTCAACCTGGGCAGGTATAGCTTCCTAACCTGGGCTCCGAAGCCCCGGAGGCCCTGACTGCCCCCTGTGACTCACATGCCTTGACATTGCCCACACCCTTGGCCTGCTCTCTGGGACCATGTCCAGCATCCCCGACCTTACATAGGGTGCTGGGGTGGAAGGTAGAAGCCAGAAGCCAGAGTTCGCATATCAGCCCTGTGCTGTGTTACCCCAGCCAGCCCCTGTACTCTCTGGGCCTCACTGAAATCGCTGAACAGCTCTCTGGCTAAGCCACTCCCGCCTCCCTCCTCATTCCAGTCAAGACCAGAAATATGGCAGCTACCTAAGGGACCCCAAGGTCCTTTCCTGCCCCAGCAGCCCTTCCTTTTGGGAGCCTAAATTTAGCCCCGCCTGGCGAGTAAGATCCCCTCAGCTGTGCCCTAATCCAGCCAAGGGAAGCTGACACCAGTGAACACATATATTTAGGGTGTGACGCAGGGGCCTAGGCAGCTGCAGTGGGGACATGTGTACGAGATGCCTCTGGGTCCTTTGGCAGTCCAGGTTAGGTCCTAAACCCCCACATATCTCCCCCGCCCCACCACCTTGCCTGCTCCAAGCCCTCTCTCTTCCTGGACCCACAACCTCCTAGGCCCTCAGGCCCCTTTAAGTCACTCCCACCTCCCTCCTCATCCCTCCCAGTGCTCAGTTTCCCCTTTTAAGGACATTGTGAAGATGAATCCAGCCTCCCAGCGCCCGGTCTGGCTGAAGGAGGGGGATCCTCTGGCTCAACAAGTGGGCAGGGAAGGAGGGGACAGCAACCTTGTACTTAGCTGTACTGAGGCCCATGAAGGTTTCTGCCCCTGTCTGGCTGGCCACACACCCCAAAACTTGCCATCTTGAACCATCCCTCTGGCCCAAAACATGAGGCTTCCCTTCCCCCCAGCCCTGAGCGCAGCTGAGGGAAGTGTGGGCACAGACAGATTCTCAGGCCCGGAAGTCCTGACCTCCACTCCCCCAAAGCTCCTACATCCACCCAAATCTAGGGGTTCCACAGGCTTCAAGGGCCCCTTTGAGTGTCTGTGCCTGGACAGCAGGGCTCAAGCTGGGGTAGGGGCCACTTTGGCCACTGGGCTGGGGACAGGGTTCTCTCAGGCTCCAAAAGTCGGATGGAGACCCAGCCAGTCTGGGGGTCCCCGAGGACTCTGTCCACTCACCATTTCTTGGTGCACTCCACCACCAGCTCATGGTAACAGGCCACAAACTGGAACTTAGCGGCCCGCTTGCCCACGCGCTGCAGACGCTTCCACACCGAGGTCATGGCCCCCGCCGCCCGCTCCTCAGACTCGGGGCTCCCGCTGGTCCGAGATCTCTGGCCCCGCCCAGGTCCCCATAGCCTCCCGGGCTCCTAGCCGCGCTGCCCGCCCCGTCTGTGCGGAGCTGTCCGAAGCTTGAACCCGGGGCCGCTGTCCCGACTGCCACCTTCGGGTCCCGCTGCTTGGTCTGGCTGAGCCGGCGGGGTCGTCTGGGGCGTCGGGTCGCTGGGGCGTTGAGCAGAGAGCGCGCCGTTTCCTGGAGCCGCACCCCCGTCGAAAGGCGGGCGGGGCTCCGTCGGGCGCAGGGGCGGGGCGGCCGGGCTTCCGGGGCCTTTGGCCACGACCGCGAGGCAGGGACGGGGTCGGATGCTGGGGCTGCCGCGCTCAAAGGTGGTGTGGCCCCGCTTGCCGAGTAGAGGGCAACCAGCAACTCGGTGCCGCCCTCTCGAGCGCCGCCAGGGCCACCTCCCTTCCTGCCCGCAGCCCCGCGGGGCACATACTGGCGGCCCTATTTCACAGGCTGGGAAACCGAGACCCAGAAAAGGGAAGAGACTTGCTCAGGGTCACATTTTGAGACTGGGCCAGAGCCAACTGTACTCGACACTGGGGTGGCAGACTACTGTTGCCACCCACTTAACCAGAGCAGGAGGAGCAGTCAAGTACCAACCTGGGTAGCTCTACCTGAGGACAGCACCAGTTTTCCACTCAGAATCTGGCTCTTCAGCTGTCAAGTGGGAAGACAGTCCCAATATCCAACAAGCAGAGCTGGAGGTTCAAATTCTGACTTCCAAAATGTGTGACCTTAGCACTACCATTCAGCCTGTTTCGACCTCCGTTAAATAGGAGTAATTATAGTTCCACCTCTTACAGAGTGATTGAGAGGATGAAACCTTGGAAATTCGTATTTGTACCCGGAAACCTTACATTTTGTGAGGTTTTAAGTAGAACCCGTTATCACTGACAGGTACAGTACGGAGCCTGTGTGTTTACTCTCCCGCCCGCTTGGGCGTTAGCCACTTTGTTCACACCTAGATTAGAGCCCTATGGCTTACCAGCCAGCCCTACATGGTATTAAGCCACAAGTGTCAGGCTCTGAATTAGAGAACTGTCCTGGGGCAGCACATCAGCCTGCTCCCTCCCTGCCAGGGCCCCTGCTCTGCAAGGTTCATGAAGAGATGGAAGCCTGATGCTTGATAAACACTCCGTTTAAGCGGGATGTCCCATCTGCCAGGAGTACCTACTAAGCTGTCTCCAGGAAGCAAGTAACTGCAGCAGGACGAGTATGAGCAACTGAAAACCTAAGTGTGCGACTTCCTCTTCTCGGTCTCAGAAGTTGTGGGTGTGTTTATGTGTACGTGTGGGGGAACGAGTACTCAATAGTCCCCAAATGTGCAGGCTTCCTCCCTTGGGCCTGACACTTGGGTTTGATCCCCAGTCCCAGCATTGTGGTCTGTTTTCTCTGTAAGAGCCTTTTACTTACAACCCTCAAGGTCCCAATTGCTGTAGGGTGGGGCCAGGCGGTCTGTATGAGATTGAGTGAGGAATGGGGGTGTCTGATTGAGTGAGGAATGGGGGTGTCTGGGACCCCAATCACCCCTCACCACCCGTCTTATCCACCAAAACCTGGGGCACACACCCCCATCTCTCCTTCAGTACCTGTCTGGCCTCTGGGAGGCCTGGAGGGACAGTGACTTCACCCCTTTCTGCCTCTGCAGCTTCTTCCTCCCACCCATAGGGCACACACTAGCTCCCAGACCCTTCCAGGAGGCGCCTTCCCCTCTCCCCTCCGAAGGGCCCCTTGGCCCGCGAGCTTGGGGCCCACCCATTTCCTGTACTGCCCCAACTCCGCCCTGACTCGGGGTGGAAAATTTCTCTCCTTAAAATGGGCGGCTCCTTCTCCTTTCTTCCCCGCCGGCCAGGAAGGCTCAAAGCCAGTGGGTAAGGAGGTTGGGCTCCCAGGCCTCCGGCCAGAGAGAGGAAGTGACTCGCCCGCACACAACCGCGGGACCTGGCGGGTCCAACTTGGAAAGCTCCACAATCCGTCCGGGGAAGGGAGGATTCGCTCGCCGCCAGCCCCAAGCCTCTTTTACTCAGGGTCTCGGCGCCACCTGCCGACGGAGCATGGGTCCGCACTTGCCAGAAACACCGCTATCTGCCCCAGAGCCAAGTAGTCAGAACACTGGAACGCTGAGAGTATTTATTTATCTATGCGCCCAGCAGGCTGGCCCCTAAACTTAAATATCCAGCACGGAGCCTTGGCCCTCCCAGCTGTGAATGGGTGCAAGAATGGGTCCTGGAGTCCTTATCTAGGGCAGTGGAACCCAGGGACCAGAGGTGGGATGCTCCTGAGCCAGCAGCTGCCAACAGCAGCAAAAGGTGAAAAGGAGACGGGAGCCAGACACTCATCCCAATTCCAGAGACACCAAGGGAAGTGTAAGATGCTTTGGGTCCCACTGCCAGACTGAAGGTTGGCCAAGCTGGGGAGCATACATGTGGAAGTGGAGGTCCATGGGCAGAGGCTGTAGCCCAGGTGCCTGCCCCAGTGCCAGCTAACCCAAGACAAGAGAGGGGGTTGGCAGTTGTGCCTGAGGTGGTATGGGGGAAAGCAGGCACTATAGTCTGAGTACTTGCTGGGGGGTGAGTTTTTGAGCCTTTTGCATGAGTATACCCCACCCCCACCCCTTCAGAGGTTGATATGGAAGGCATCTTGCAGCCACTGGTCACGGGCATTGTGCGTCTGGGGCACAGTGAGGGGTGGTGGGTCCGGAGGCAGGCTGGCATCAGGAGGTTCATCATCATCAGATAGGCCAGCATCAGGTGGGTAAGAGCTGTCTGAATGCAGAGAGGATGACAGGTCCTGGCACAGGCTCAAGTCTTGACATAGGTGCTTGTAGTCCTGGATTGACTCATACAGGCCCCACAGCTGGCACAGCAGGGACATGTCCAGCTGCCGCAACCCCACCTGCAAAAGACTGAGGGTGGGCTGGGGTTGGGGTCCAGGCCACCCTCAGCCCAAGCCACAGCTCTAGCCAATCTTCCCACACTAACTACAAATTTTGTGGACATAGACACCACCTGCAAGCTGTGAATCTTTAGGCAAGTCACTGACTCTTACGGGTAAAAAGAGGATAACATTCATCTAGCAGGATGGAATGAAATAAGACGAGTAAAGCATTTAAAAATACATGGTGACTATTGCCATTAAACAGTAACTATAATTACTGTTACCATAACCCTTCTGACCCAACTGGCTTCTGCATGTCCTCTGAGACCCAGGCCTCGCGTTCCTAGTTCCATGCCTCTGCGCTCCGCCCCACCTCGGGTCTTTCATGCTCGGCACTGCCCCAAAGCCCCTGGCCCGGAGCCCAGCCACTCACCATCTCCTTGCGCAGCGCTGCTAATGCCGAGTCGAGGTTGACAGGACGCCGCGGGCCAGGAGGACCGGCGGCAGGTCCGGCGTTGGTGGCGCCTGTGGCGCCGCGGGGCCCTTCTGGGATGCGGGCCGCACGGCTCAGCTCATCGTGAATACGGCTGCGCTGGCTGTAGACGCGCTCCAGCTCCCGCCACGAGCCCCCGCTCGCGTTAAGGAGACCGCTGAGGCCGCGCGGTAGCGGCGGGAGTCCGGCCAGGGGGCAGCCCGCACCGCCCGGCGCCTCGGCCGAGGGCAACCCATTCATGGCCGGGCCGGCGCGGACGATAATGCCGCCTCCTTCCCTCCAATGCTCTGCTTGGGTTGCCGCCCGCAGGGCCCGCACCCCGGGGCCCCACCGGCCGAGCCCAGCCGCCTCCCGCAGGCCGCGCTTTGTTCCTTCCCTGACGCCTCCGACTCCGCCCCTGCCCCACCCCCTCCGCATGGGCGGGGCTTCTCTTAAAAGGGCAACGGCTGTGGACCAAGTCACCCGGGTGGCGGAAAGCTGAGTAAAGGGAATGGGGTCACTGACAGGAAAAGTGGTTAGGGAAGAGACCAACAGCGGCGGGCACGGTTCCTTCACAGTTCTTTTATGCTCCCCCACACCTCCGTGTTTAATTATTCAGTCCAATTATGACGCCCAAGGAAAAGGATCTAAAAGTGGGAGTCAGGAGACGGGTAAATCCATACTTGGCCCCTAACGTGCAACCTGACACCATGTCAGTGTCCAAGTACCTGGACTGGGCATGAGGTGGGAAAGGATGATAGTCTCAGGATGCTTCAGGGAAGAAGCTACCAAGGGGATTGGAATCCCAATCTTACTCAAGGGTGAGGAATGAGCACTGGATGGCACAGTAAGCTACAGAGGTGCTGCAGAAGCCCATCCCTCTTGTTCCTGACTTTGAGGAGACAACTCTCACATAGTCCTCTCCCTCCCCACCATCCTGAGTGGGGAAACTGAGCAGAAACAAGCCCAACTCATGTCTCAGGGCATCAAGGAGATCAGATAGTCGTAGGGTGAGAGACCAAAAGCAGGAAAAAGGCCAGTGGAGCTGGGGCTGGCATGCACACTCAGAACCACGAAAAAACAAACCACACAAGAGGAACAGCTGTTTTCTACAGGGTTTTTCTCAAGGGAGGCATCTCTTAGTGTTGCAGTTGCTGCACGCTGTGCAGGGCTTCAGCACAAGCCCGTATAAGGCTACACAGTTGGATGCTAGTCTCCAGGGAATTGCTAGAGCCCAATTCAGCTGAGGCCCAGGTCAGCTTCTGCAGGAGGGCCTCCTGTGTACTGACCACAACACCTGCATTTGGAGGCACAGCTGGAAGGCGTGGCCCCTGGGCTGCTTTGAGCCCTGCTGCAGCTCCCTCACAGTGCTCTGGACGGGGTACTGGGGGCTGAGGGGTGGGCCGAGGGCCTGCAGGGATCTCCAAGGCAGAGGCAAGTTGGTGCTCCCGAGCTTGGGAGAGGGCAGCCTGGGCATTCAGAGCTAAAAGAGGAGAAATCAGGTGGAATGGTCAGGATACCTGGCTCACCTCGGCCCTGAGCCACCTACTTACTCTCTACTGCTCTGCTCTTATGTGCTTGAGATGTTTCCCCTACCACTCTATAGGGCAACTCATTCATTTCCTTCTTTGTATCAGATTAACTTATGTCCTTGGTTCATCTTTCCCATCAGGACTATGCTTTATTGAGCTGGGACTTTCCTGTCTGGAACACAGGAGATGCTTGCTCAGTGCTCTTACTGAATGAATGTTTCTCTACAGAGCAAAAAGGAGAAAGCACCTTACCTCCGCCCTACTCAAGGACGCCATTGTCACCTCCCAGGACTACTGTTCCCAGGGCTCTATCACCATGCTTCTCCACTAAGCACACTCAGCCCCTCACCCGGGTTATCTTTATCCACGTCTGAATCGAGCTCCTGACAAGCCACGCAGTAGACTTGCCGCTGTTTGTTTTGGAGAAGGATCGTCTAGGGGCCAGAAAGCACAGGGGCAGGGATGAGACACCAGGCGATGGATTCCAGAGAGGAGAGGTTGGGGAAGGGCCGTTCGACCTAGTCTGTGGGCCTATCCCCGCTCCCACGTCCCGAATCTCTCCTCACCCCGCAGTCCGCGCACGTCTCGCCCAGCATGCGGTAACCACGCAGCAGGTAGTCGCCCATGAGCGCCGAGATGCGATTCTGCCTCTCCCGTCGAGCTTGCAGCACCTTCGTTTCCGCTTCGGTCGGAGGCTCCCAGGAGAAATCGTCCACTTCTGGGGAAAGAAGGGCACAGGGACCTGAAACTCTTGCTGAAGCAGGCTGTCTCCCGTACCCCGAAGCCGCAGACCCTCGCAGCTCAATTCCTCACCATCACCGTTCAGAGCCATGTTGCCGTTGTCGCCGCTAGGCTTAACGGAAGTGACGCACAGGCCGAGCGCCCTTCGTCGGCTCCTCCCCTCCGTGTTGAGCAAAGGACGAGGGCGGAAGTGACGTTCAGGGTGCTTCTCAGACGTCGCAGTGCCCAGAGTGGGGCGTGTCTGCTGCAGACTGGACCCTGCGCAGTTCGCGCCCCCTAGCGGGATCCCAGTGGACAGAAACTGGCCGGGCCAAAGGAGAGGCACCTCCTTGGAACCCCGTCCGCTCAGGCCCAGAACCTGGAAGTGACTGTGCCGTCGCCCTTTCCGCCCGCCGGCCTCTGCCTCCCCTGGGGTTTCCGTACCGGCCGGACCGTTGACAGGCGGGGCAGTGGCATCATCACAACACCACCCCTGCTGAGAACAAATGGCCTCTCGCTCACGCGTAGAGACTTTTCAGGTCTCAGTACTTATCACTTCAACCTGCAAAGCAGGCCAAGCAGAGATCATTCCCGCTTTTTGTACCTTGCAGTTTGTTTGCATGTTTGCTGTCCCAGTCACTCAATCCCGTACCTACCCTAAGACCTGGGACTGATACAAAGTCTGCTTCTAACTGTTTTTGAAGGTAAGCCCTCAAAAAGCCTGCTGCCTGAAAAGCACAGTTCCCGTAGCAGCCACAGCTGAGGAATGCTTACTGGAGAGTGAGGGTGAAGAAGGGCTTACTACACATGTTGGTGACAATTAGGCTTTAATTGGGTGGATTGCTATTAAAATTACTAGTTCTCCCTAACACTGGTCTTGGTGATTTTCTTTTCTGTGTTTTTTTCCATACACATCTTCTCCCTTTTTAGGTTTGGAGAAGCCAGATGGGAACAGGCAGTAGACTCCAGGTGTGCAGACCACACTGCCTCAAGGCTGTACACCAGGGCAGTGGAGAAGGAGCTAGGACTTAGACTCCCGCATAATCTCATCAGCAACCTCCTCCTTTGGTTAGACAGCACATGTTTCTGCAATATTACCTGAAGATTGAGTGCCCTCCTCCTGGCCCCATCTTCCTCCTACATAGACTCTTTGGAACTGCCATTTTCTGACCCTGGCTGCCTCTTGCTTACTTGGAGAGCCCCGTGCTCCTCTTCATTCTCTCCTTCTACCAGCAGTGTGCCTGACTTAGGGCCTGACCCCAGGGCAGTTCTGCCAAGCTGACTAGAGGGACTCTTGGGCTCTAGCCTGTATGCGCAGACCTTCCAGGTCCTTACTGTCTTTAGCTCCAAGCCCCACCCTGAATTCTTCAATGCACCCTTCTGTGTCATCATCATGGCCAATATCCATTCAACAGCCTATTCTTCCTGGCACCAACTAAAATAAGACCCTCATACTCATCCTCCCATTTAATTCCTTTTATTTCCTCATGACAACCTTATGGGGTAGGTACTATTTTACAGAGCTTAAAACCCTCTGGCATCTCCTCATCATATTTAGATGAAAATCCAAAATCCTTACTATGGTCTCCAAAGTCCTACAAATCTGGCCCTTGGCCCTCTCATCTCCTCCCACCCTCCCTACATTCTTCCTCTCACTGCTCAAGGGGATTCCCATCATCTTTCTACACTCAGGGCCCCTCCCTACCTCAAGTTCCATAGGAAAGTAGACAAGACATAGGCCTAGAATCAGGCTGGCCTGGGTTTGATCCTGTTTGTCTCTGCTGCTTACTAGCTATGTCTCCTGGAGTGATTTAATACCTTACCTCTCTGGACTTTAATTCCTCATCTGCAAAACAGGACAGGTTAACCCTGGCCGGTTTGGATCAGCGGTTAGAGCGCTGACCTGCTGTCCGGAGAGACCTGGGTTCAGTTCCCACTAAGGGTGCGTACCTCGGTTGCAGTTTGTGCCCAGCCCTGGTTGGGCTGTGCGGGTGGCAGCCACTCGATGTGTCCCTTTCACGTCGATGTTTCTCTCTCTCTTTCTCTTCCTCTCTCTCCCTCCCACTCTATCTGAAAAAAAAAAAAAGGAAAAAGTGTCCTCGGATGAGGATTAAAAAAAAAAAGGACCCGTTATAACTTCTTAGCCAGGCGGCTCCAGGTGTACGGCAATGTGGCTGTGGTTGCTGAGTCTGTAATAACCCTGCCTCCCAATAGAGGGCTTTGGATGGCAATGTTTTCAGCTAGCTGTAGAAACAAATCACGGCTTATCAAACTATCTAAACCGCTGTGTAGATGCCCACGCAAGGGCCCTTTCTCTGATGAGACTGACAGGAATCAAGGTGTTGATAGACCCTGCACTGTCCAGATTGTCTCCATTTCTGCCTGGATCTATCATTGTACCAGATGTGGCAACATGCCTACCATCATTAATTGGGCACAAAGTAAAGGACTCTGTACTTCTTCTTCTTTTTTTTTTTTTTTAAATATGTTTTTATTGATTTTTTTAGAGAGAGAGGAAGGGAGAAATAGAAACATGGATGTGGCCCTGGCCGGTTTGGCTCAGCGGTTAGAGCATCGGCCTGCGGTCCAGAGAGACCTGGGTTCGGTTCCTGCTAAGGGCACGTACCTCAGTTGCAGTTTGTCCCTGGCCCTGGTTGGGTTGTGCGGGTGGCAACCACTCGATGTGTCCCTTTCACATCGATGTTTCTCTCTCTCTCCCTCCCATTCTATCTGAACAAAACATGGAAAAAGTGTCCTCAAGTGAGGATAAAAAAAAAAAAGAAAGAAACATGGATGTGAGGGAGAAACATCAATCAGCTGCCTCCTGCATGCCCCCTACTGGGGATGGAGTCCACAACCCTGACAGGGAATGGAACAGGGATCTCTCAGTCCATGGGATAATGCTCAATCCACTGAGCCACACTGACTGGGCTAGGGCTCTATACTTGAGTCCTTCCCAGTCCTTGACAGGGAGGGACATATTGAAGGTCCCAGAAGTTCTGGTGATAAAGCCAATTTACAGCAGTCATGGTTGGCAGACCAATTGTCTGGGAAGCTGTGAACTTGTGCTCTTTCATACCCTTCCCTCACCAAAGAATTTAGCACACTAACACCTGTGGCACTGTTGACATGGCAGTAAAGACCACTCCTGAGTGGTAGCACACACAGCTCAATTACATCCCACCTCTGACTGCCTCGTTGGGGGGTCAGGTTCACATGGCAACAAGTGGCTTATGCCATCTCGCTGTGGCTCTGAACATCACACCTTACATTATTGTATTTTCACACCAACAGACTCTAAAAAGGGGTTGGCTTTCCATTTTGTTTTTCACTACAACATGAATTGACCTGACATTTCTGCAAAACGGGAAAGGGCCAGATGATACAGTGATAATAATAATACTCATCTTTTGGTGCATGTTTTCTTTTCATGAATGCTCTCATTTAATCCTCAAGACAATGGTGTGAGTTAGGGCTTATCATTACCCCCAATCTGCAGATGAGGAAACTGAGGCTTGCATGGGTTGAGCAATGCATCCACAGTCACTCTGCTGGGATGTGGCAGGGCTGGGGCTCCACACGGGAGCACATGTCTGCAGCCTAATTCTCACCAGTGGACTTTTCCTGAAGGAGAAAGGTGGAGAAGAGTAGTGGGGCTGCAGATCCTCTCTGATTGATCAAGAGTGAAGATAGATTCATTTCATGTTCCAGTCCCATCCCTCAGTGCCCGTCATCACAGTATATGGCACATCAGTGATGGCCACTTTCAGTAAAGTGTCATTGGAGTCGCATGCTTCAGGGCAGCATTGTCCCCTCCAGGCCTCTGAAACTTCCAACCCTCACCTTTAGAAGTGGTGTGTAGGCCCCATCCATCCACCTCTGAGCCTAGAAGCTTCCCAAAGACCTTCAGAACTCAGAGAGGAGGCACAGAGCCTGGCAACAGTCAGCCCTCCCCTCCCACCAGCCAGCCCATAATGGTTCCCAGACCCAGATGATAATGAAAAGAATTAATGTATACTGAGTACTTACTATGTAGCCAGCATCTACTAAGGACTTCCTAAATGTAAGCTCATTTGATTCTCTGTTTTGTTTTGTTTTTATCCTCACTCGAGGACTTTTTTTTTTTTTTTTGGCATTTATTTTCAGATAGAGTGGGAGGGAGAGATGGAGGAAGAGAGAGAGAAATATCGATATGAGAGAAACACATTGACTGGTTGCCATCCACATGACCCCAACTGGGGCCAGGGACAAACTGCAACCGAGGTACGTGCCCTTAGCAGAAACTGAACCCAGGACTCTCTGGTCCGCAGGCCAATGATCTAACCGCCTAGCCAAGCCTGCCAGGGCTCATTCTCTGTTTTAAAATGAGGAAACAAAGGCATAAAGAAGTTGAAGAATTTTCCGTATTCACATAGCTGGTACAGGATGCAGCCAGGAAAAATTAATGCCAGAAAACAACTACTGTGCTGGGTTGCCTCCTGAAACATAACTTCCGTCATGCAGGTGGCTGCCGCCCTGTCCAGCCAGTTCTCCTGACGAGGCATCAGGAGCCTGGGGTTTTTTTGTTTGTTTGTTTCAATCCTCACCTGAGGATATTTTTCTATTTATCTTAGGTAGAGAGGGAGAAAAAAGGAGAGAGAGAGAGAAACATCGACATGAGAGAGACACATTGACTGGTTGCCTCCCGCTCAACCCCAACCAGGACCGGGGACGAACCGCAACCGAGGTATGTGCCCTTGACCAGAATTGAACCCACAACTCATTGGTCTGTGGGCTGATGCTCTATTGCTAAGCCAAACCGGCCAGGGCTTGGGTTTTGAGTCCTGGCTCTGCAATTGACTAACTGTATAACCTCAGCCAAGTCCCTTGCCTTCTCTGGGCTTCAAGAACCCCTCTGCACAAGGAGCCCTTCTTTAACATTTTTTTTTTTTTTTAAATCCTCACCCGAGGACATTTTTCCATTTTTTTGTTCAGGTAGAGTGGGAGGGAGAGAGAGGACCAGAGAGAGAGAGAGAGAGAAACATCGATGTGAAAGGAACACATCGAGTGGCTGCCACCGGCACGACTGACCAGAGCCGGGGACAAACTGCAACCGAAGTACATGCCCTTAGCGGGAACCGAACCCA